AGTCCACAGAGCAGATAATAGGTACCATAAATGAACGATGCAAAGTCGGATCCAACAGCCAAAGAGAACTATGATCTTTATTTTTTTTCGTTTAAAATAACTGTTTAATATACATAATACACCAAATTTACGTATCATTTGAACCACATACTAGAACATAGGCCTATGCCTGATACATTCATTGCGTATGCATAAATTATATAAAAACAGCAGTATGAGAGGAAGATGTGGTGTGATTTGCTTCGGAGTTTGACATAACTTTATAACCACACACATACATACACAATCACCTGCAACTGCATAAAAAATTACAGCAACATTTAACTTTACCTGATAACTTGTTTTAACACAATAACTCCTCATTTTACATTATACATTCATGGCATATGAAAATACCATCCCGGCAAATGTTGCATAATGGCATCACTTCCACGGATCGTCTGCTGAAGTGATCGCTGGACCTCCTGTTTATAAGGTGGACTTATTCTCTGAAACTATGGGACTTGTTTCATTACTATATTACAACTTCTCAGTATTAAAATTATTGTCATTCTTATATGATAATTGTTTACCATTTACGTGGGCCTACGCAGTGGCGCAAAAAGGGGGTATGCAGTATATGCGGCGCATAGGGGCGCCACACATGGGGGGCGCCATTGTGCCAAAACTAATTTTGAAATTATCCATATTAAAAGTTTCAAATAATATATATATATATATATATATATATATATATATATATATATATATATATATATATATATATATATATATGTTAAAAATGTTTATTTAGCATTTTATATGCGTATAATATTGTATTTTATTAAATTAAAAAATAATTTCACCCCCCACCCCCATTTTTCATACCATATACATGTTTTTATGAATTTATTATGTATCATATTGATTCATCAGGCCTTTTGGTAATTTCTTAGCTCAAAACTATTTTAATTTTATCTACAAACAAAGTTATAACATTTCAATTAAATAAAACTTTTGCTTGTTTCTGTTTTTTTTTTACACTAAACATTTGACAGTCTTTTTTATTATACTTTTAGCAGTTTCAGTCAATTGTTCTTGCAAAGACAGACCTTACACTTCTCACAGTATGTATGTGAGAAGTAATTGCAATGTTCTTTTACCCTTTAGGACTCCCATGTCTATCATTTTGTTTTGACAAATGTAGTACAAAAAGTCCAAAAGCAAGGCTAGTCAAGGTGATATAATCATTTAGTGAGGGAAAATTAAATTGAGAAGAAATTTGGGGTGGTATGAGATGCATTTCTTTGCGACTTAACATGCTTAATGTAATTATACCTTTTACTACTTCATACTATTTCAGTTGTGTTCAGAACTGCGAAACTGTATTTTTTGAAGCATATTGATATCTTTATGAAAAAATATCTTTAATTTATTGATGGAAATATTTTCCACATTTTATCACTTGCCTGTTATAAAATTTAGTTGGATTGAAGGGGGCGCGCAAAAGTTGAAGCCGCATACCCATCAGTAAATGTGCAGTTGCGCCCCTGGGCCTATGCTATTTTGTTTGATTTGTATTGTGATGATTATGTTTACACATTAATCATAAAGAAATTAATACATTGTTTAAACATAATAACTTTTGTCTGACCTCTTTACTCTTCTTCTATTCTTTGGACATCAATATATCCTTTAAGGTGGTATAGAACCGTACAGTAATCAGTGCATTCATACAGGCTTCAATACAAATTCTGTATATTTTTTCAAACTGAGTTAACCGGGGAATACCTTCATTGCTGCAAAGAGTTTGTAAGGCTGTCCTGGCTCATTCAAATCACGGAATTAAATCGAAACTGACAGCAGCAATGGATGATTTTGATATTAATAGCCAATACAGTTTAATTTAGGCTACTCTGAAACTGTGAATATTTCACTTTAATTTTATTTATATTATTATTTTATTTAACAAAAAAAAATTGTGTTTTGGCACTGAAGCCGGCCTATATAGGGGACAACAAATATTGTTGTTTGTAGTTAACTGGCCAACAAAAAATACATTAAAATTAAGATATCTTACTTATACAAATTATACCAAACAAAATTCGTTCCAAAAAGCTCATCTTTCCAACAAAAAAAGCCTATATGAAGTGTATTTTTTTGTTAGGGCCGGTCTGCTATACAGTGCTGTGGATGAATTGTTTTGCTAATAAGGATTTAATTATAGGCCTATGCTCACTGTAATTTCTGTATTACAAACATTTACATTTTAAAGTTATTATTTTACAAATTATGTCATCTGCCTTTTCTTCGGTGCAGATCACAATCGTAAAACTGTCGTGCTCGGAAATCTTGCTCAGCATCAGGTGCATAGCAGCAAAAATGGCTGCAAACTATAACTTTTTTTAATGATAAATTGTAATGATAAATGTTAAATAATATATATCAAATAATAATAATTAAATGCCTGGGTACTGATCCACAGAGGACTACAAGACTATTATTTTGAGGGCGAGGTCAGGAGCTCAGATTTGGTAAATAAAAAATTAATAACTGTAATTATATGTTTTTATATAATTTATGCATAAGCAATGGATGAATCAGGCATAGGCCTATGTTCTAGTATGTGGTTCAAATGATATGTAAATTTAGTGTATTATGTTAAACAGTTATTTTAAACAAAAAAAAAATTAAGATCATCGTTCTCTTTGACAGTTGGATTCTACACTTGCATCATTCTCATCAGCTGCAGCTGCTGCCAAAGTGAAACGCGGCGCCTAGCTGCGCCTCCCTCATATCTGTAGTAAGATGTCCAGCTTATAGGCTAAAGATAAATTGATAAAATAACAGAAAATGCACTGACAGTTTATTACAAAGTTTTTGTAGCATAATATACAACACCAGCCCAGACAATATAAATTAATACATAAATAATAATAAATAAAAAAAAATCAAAATACTGAAAACTGTTAATTTACAGATATGTACTCGACATTAATCCAGCAAAAGTCTCGAAAGGAATTGGCTTGCTGCGTGAGAGAAAATGTGTGTGTGTTCCAATGAACTCTTATTCTGGCCCTGCTAACAACTATAAAAATAAAAACTAAACAATAAAAACTATATAATAATAATAATAATTATTATTATTATTATTACTATTATATAGGCCTAGCTTGGAAACAATCGTGCAAACCAAGTGCTGCAGCAAATTTGGCGGCGAACTATAACAGTAATGATAAATTGTAATAATAAATGTCTAATAATACTGCTAATATATTATATATTAAATATAATTTATTAAATGCCTGTGGGCTGATCCGCAGAGGACGAAGACTACAGGACTGTTATTTTGAAGGCAACGTCAGGAGCCCAGATTTGATTGACCAATCAGAGGAAATGGGCGTTTCAGAACCGCCTATATGTGGATAATGAATTTTAAAGTCATTTATCCGTTTTCCTACTCTAAACCAAAAAAAGAAAATCGAGCCAAAATCAGTTATTTAATTTTTTTGTAGCCAAATAAAAAAACGAAAAACGGCCGTTTCTTCGTTTTTTAAATTTCGTTTAAGATCAAAAATTGAATGAACGCAACGTACACGGACCTACACGGACCCTTAATCATCCTTTATACATTATTTTCAACATTTTATTTTAGGTTCAGTTTAGTTCAGTTCAGTATAATGTAAATGTCACTGCTGAAAGACAAAACACTGGAAAGCAACTCCACTGGTGACCAGATTTGATCCATATATGATCTAACATACAGCTGAAACCAGTTACATACACTCTAAAAAAAGAAACACAATCATTTAAAAAATGTCTGATGGTAAATGATACTAAACGTTTACTATTTTAAGTCTGTTAGGATAACCTAAATGATTTACATTTGCTAAATGCCAGAATAAAGAGAGATTTTTTTTGAGAATTTTTATTAATTTCTAGACAGTCAAAAGTTTACACACATTTCTTTGGTATTTGTTTAGCTTTGCTTTTAAACTGTTTAACTTTGGTCAAATGTTATGGGTATTCTTCCACAAGCTTCTCACAATAGTTTGCTGGAATTTTGGCCCATTCCTCCTGACAGAATTGGTGTAACTGAGTCAGACAGAGATGTCTTGCTCGCACAAGCTTTTTCAACTCTGCCCACAAATTTTCTATAGGATTGACATCAGGGCTTTGTGATGGCCACTCCAAAACATTCACTCTGTTGTCCTTAAAGCACATTTGAACTAATGTGGCAGTATGCTTAGGGTCATGGTCTGTTTGGAAGAGCCATTTGTGGCCAAGTTTTCATTTCCTGGCTGATGTCTTGAGATGTTGCTTCAGTATTTCTCCATGATGTTCTTTCTTCATGATGCCATCTATGCTGTGAAGTGGACCAGTCCCTCCTGCAGCCAAACAGCCCCACAACATGATGCTGCCGCCCCCATACTTCACAGTTAGGATGGTGTTCATAAGCGTGTAAGCTTTCCCCTTCGTCCTCCAGATGTAACACTGCTCATTATAGCCAAAAAGTTCAATCTTAGTTCCATCAGAGCACAGGACATGTCTCCACTATTAGTCTTTTTCCCAGTGTAATTTAGCAAATTGTAATCTGGCTTTGTTGTTGATTCTGACTTGTTGATTTTCCCATGTTGTCACACAAGGAAGCAGTGTGTGTTTAAGGTTTTCCTTCAATACTATTCTACAGTTGTGCCTCCAATTAACTCAAATGTTGTCAATTAGCCAATCAGAAACTTCCAAAAGCTTGACATCATCATCTGAGCTTTTTCAGAGGCAGAATAATCTTACTGTATGTACACTTGACTTTCAAGAAAGGTTATAACTATTTCTCAAAATATCTCTCATTATTCTGCTATTAAGCAGAACAGAAACAAATCTGATCATCCTAACTTACCTAAAAAATAAGTTTAGTCTCATTAACATCTGAGTTTTTCAAAAAAATAATTATGTGCCTTTTTATAAAGTTTATGTAAACGTCTGGTTTCAACTGTACGTAATCTAACAAAATCTGATTCTACCTGCCACATGTTGAGGTTTCATAGGCCCCGCCTTCATCATAAACGGTTCTCCTCCCTCGAAGGCCATGATTTGGTCAGCCGGTTGACTCTGCCCACTGTTCCCACTGTGATTGGACAGCTTGGGGAAGACACACAAACGGGAAAATAAGCAAAACATAATTCATGCAGCTTAATTTCAATTTCAATTCATGCAGCGTCTCGATTACCTCATTGGTGATTAGTTTGTCGCACCAGTATGAAGAGCTTCTGACGGATTTCTCTGTATTACAGCAAGACGAGAGGAAAACAACATTGTATTTTTTTATTTTAACCCTACTTACATGATATTAATAAAAGAGTGATTTTTAAATATTCACAGTACTATAAATAGATTTTTACCGCTGTCAGTGACTCTGCCATTCACTTGAGTTGGAGTTTTAACAACTTTCTGCAAAGAAATTAATAAACCAGGTTAATTTCCTTTCATTGTGTGTGTTTAAGATGAATTTATGAAACACACACACATCTCACCTGTGCTCCTGCGTCACTCTTACGAGTCCTCTTCATGATTTCTTCCAGACGCTAAAAATGTAAACACAAACGTTAAACCAACAGAGCTGAACTAAAATCTCAAATACAATTGAAGACAAAATTTTGAGCCCTCCTGTGAAATTAAATCTTTTAGAAATATTTCCCAAGTGCTATATTTAACCATTTTTAAATATTCATTCATTTATTTTCCTTCAGTTTAGTCCCTTTATTTATCAGGGGTCACCACAACAGAATGAACCGCCAACTTATCCAGCATATGTTTTACACAGCGGATGCCCTTCCAGCTGCAAAGCAGTACTGGGAAACATCCATAGACACTCATTCACACACACTAAGAACATGCAAACTACACACAGAAATGCCAAATGACCCAGCCGGGACTCGAACCAGCGACCTTCTTACTTTGAGGCGACAGTGCTAACCACTGAGCCACCGTTATGCCAGATTAGAGGTCTGCGGGACCCGACCAGATTTCTTGCAGCGTGGGATTAAATTCCGGATAAAGCATGGGAGCGGTCGGTAACTGGTGAAATTTGAACGGGAGCCGGCGGTCTAACAATATCACTCCCAAGCGAGCGAGCACGCCTATGTGTGTGTGTGAATGAGAGAGCGTGATGCTGTGTTCAGCTTAATTGGTGGACTTTTATTTTACCTTCTTTCTTTCCAAGCGTTCCAGCTCCTCCTTCTGGAAGTGTTTCTCTCGTTCGATCCTCTGTTTCTCTGCTTCCTCTCGGGCTTTGGATTCAGCCTCTTCTCGCTGCCAAAGACACATAAAACCACATCATACATTCATTTATTACACATCTCTAAAATACCTAAAAGTCCAGTGCCATGTCACATATGGGACCCCACGTTTGGCTGCTTAGTGTGGTCAATCAGCTTTATCAGTGGTTATCAGCTGATAGATATGGGCCAGTAGGGGCCTTCCGCTCAGTAAATGTCACTCAGAAGGCTGTTATCGCCCATTCACATTGTTAATCAGCTATAATAATAGAGAAGAGTCCAGATCTGTTTTACATCACTGTGACGGTTAAGGTAGGGGTAGGCATTAATGAGTTCTAATTAATGGGAAATTTAATAAATAATATTAATAATTCTAGTTAACTTCCGGCTGCAGCCGTACGTGATCTATAGCTGATTAACCATGTGGATGGATGATAACAGCCTTCAAATGATCTTCTTTTGCGTTCTAGCAGAAGAAAGCGAAAGCTGAGTAAAGGTTGACAGAACTTAGTTTTGGGTGGACTATCTCTTGACAATGGCTTCCAATATGATCATCATAGTAAAAGCTTAGAGATTATAGACACACATTCTTCTCCGGCTGTTATTAAGACTGCTGGCAGCTGCTAACACAAAAATAGTCATCTACTATAGGGCCCATGGAAAGTTTCTGGAGCAATGAGTGTCGCAGAGAAAACTAGTAAAGTCAGTACACACACACATACCCTCACTGGCCACTTTATTAGGTACACCTGTTCAACTGCTCGTTAACGAAGTAAACGTTATGAAGATTGGAAAAACGTTCCCTGGTCTAATAAGTCTTTATTTCTGCTGCAACATTCGGATGGCCGGGTCAGAATTTGGTGACAACAACACGAAGCAGGGATCCATCCTGCCTTGTATCAACGGTTCAGGCTGGTTGTGGTGGTCCATTCCTTCATAACAACAGTGTTAACAAGAGCGATAACACACCATGTCATAAAGCGTGAATCATCTCAGACTGGTTTCTTGAACATGACAATGAGTTCACTGTACTCAAAATGGCCTTCACAGTCACCAGATCTAAATCCAATAGAGCACCTTTGGGATGTGGTGAAACGGGAGATACACATCATGGATGTGCAGCCGACAAATCTGCAGCAGCTGTGTGATGCTATCATGTCAATATGGCGCAAAATCTCTGAGGAATATTTCCAGTACCTTGTTGAATCTATGCCATGAAGGGTTAAGGCAGTTCTGAAGGCAATTAAATAAGGTGTACCTAATAAAGGGGCCGGTGAGTGTAAACAAGGCGAAAAAATATTGTTTATTTTTTTCCGGCTAAAGTGACCCGAAAGCCAACATGGAAGAGTTAAATGACCGAGAAAATTTGGCCAATTGAAGCTCGATTCTGTCCTTCAATTGGCTTGAACTCTGGATCGCTGTAATGTAATCAGTGTGTCAATGAGACCGTCCGGAGTGAATGAAGGATCGCCACACAGCACGACTCTGCAATCCTGCCTGTCACACCAGCAAACTGTTTACATTCCCAAACGGATCTAGAGGGTAACTACATCAAGACATTCAATTCACATTCAGCAAATATTCGTTTTGATGTACAGTTGAAGTCTGAATTATTCACCCCTGACTTATTAGCCCCACTGTATGCTTTTCCCCAATTTCTGTTTAACGGAGAGCAGATTTATTCAACACATTTCTAAACATAATAGTTTTAATAACTCATCTCTAATAATGACACGCCATGAAGATAGTCCATAATATTTGACTAGACATTTCTCAATATTCAGCTTAAAGTGACATTTAAAGGGTTAACTAGGTTATTCAGGCAAGTTAGGGTAATTAGGCAAGTCATTGTATAACAGTGGTCTGTTCTGTAGACTATACAAAAAATATTGCTTAAGAGGGCTAATAACATTGACCTTAAAATGGTTTGAAAAAAATTTAACTGTTTTTCTTCTAGCCAAATATATATAAACCATTAAACAAAGCAACTCGTATTCAAGCGAAACGGCTGATGGAAACATGCTGCGAGAGAGAGCACATTTAAATACAGAGGTCCAAAATACAACACATACAGAGAGTTTAGATGCAAATAAATGCACCACACACACACATTAGCTTATCAACAGCAACCCAAACAGCCCCACAACAAACACAGTCAATTCTCAGTTGTCTTTACACATTGACCACTGGCTTTTGGGAAATTGTTCAATGAGGCTTAATAATAGCCAGATTTATACTGACACAACATACTGTACTGCTGGATGGGAATTTAAAGGTCAAAGATTAAAGGCAAACATGAACTTTGCATCCAGAGCCTCATCAGCCAGTTCAGTTCAGACTTTGGGATCAAATAAAAATAAAAATCAGCATTATTTATGGGCTTTTAATATTCTTGTAGTATTTATTAAATGCAAAACAGCAATTTTTCTATGGCGATCTTTATCATTTTAAAACTGATTGCTTATTCAAGTTAAGCTTTTAATCTAATACTCGATGTTCACTTTTTATTTTAATAGTAGTTTACTGCAGGTATTAGTAATCTTGCTAGGTTTTCTTGCAATTTATGTTTAATATTGAATTATATTTATTATATATTTAAATAAGTCAATCAAGTCGATCATGATTTCATAATATGGGTTTACGATCTACCTAAAATCTTATACAAAGGTACTATTGGATATTTCAGTACTTATATATTAATTTAAGTATATGTCTTAAACTCAGACATTTCTCACCTTTCTAAGACAAATCTGACGGAAAACACTTGAGGGAAAAACCTGAGGCAAGACTTGAAGCTCTAAATGATAATATTCATCAAATGAAATGCAACCGGAGAGCAGTTTTTGTGGACTCTCTCTGTCACTCGTTAGTATCCTGTTCGCTCCTGTCATGCCAAAATTGATATAAGCCCGTCTGGCAGCGTCCACTCCTGCCATAACTCACCTTATATCTGTTATCAAGCATCTAAAAATACAGCTTCTGAGATGAAGAGCATCTGACAGCCAGGGCTAATGATGAAACTTCTGCTCAGACAATGATCTGAGGACAGCAGAGATGTTTACGAGCGAGCTAAATGCACTGTGTAGCTATAGTACACAGATGGCACTGTTACTTCATTGTGCTTAAATATCTCTCTGAAATAACGCAAACACTCTCAAAATGCGTAAAAGAGTATTAAGAGTTGAGCATGATACGATGGGAATACTAGCGTCCATAGTTATATACGTTAAATGTCGCCTACCCTAATGTTGTCTTTTGGACGGAATGCGTCAACAGATCCGCCATTTTAGTACAGGGTAACGCTCCTTTGAAATGAACGCTCCTTTTAAACGAGCGCCATCTAGCGGTCACATAATCTAATGACTAAATATTATGAACTTATTTTATAAATACATATAACTTGACATTAACTTTTTTTCTTACCAACCCCACTGGTCTTTTTCACAAGACAAAATTTTATTGTTGGAAACCGTGTTTTACATATATCTATATTTGACTTTTGCATGCTTGAGGAAGAGACTACTTGATTTGGGTCATTAAAAAACTCAGACTACCAATATTATGATATAGGTTGCCTATATCTGCTGTATTCACCCTAAAACCTACAGTAGGTTGACATAAAACCAAAGACAACACCCATTCTTTTCTTAAGATATTTTAAGCAATTTTTGAATAACAGTAAATTAATGACATGGTACATATATAGTAAATCTGCTGGTTTTAAACATACAGCATAATAATAAATACAGGTATGTAACAACCATAACATTACTCTTATGTCTTAGGACAAATATGATTAACTTTTGATTACCTACACTAAATGTTGACTATTGAAGGTACATTTATAACAACTATTTATTTGTAGACTACTGTATTATCAAACCATGTTGCATACAAATGCATTCAACAGACTTAAATGACAGTGTATTGCTGTAGAGGACAAATAAAACACGGGACAGGTGTTTAGGAAGAGTATAGTTTATTTTGTTTGACCTGCAAACTTATCTAAAACAAGACAAACTCTCAGAAAACAGACCGGAAACATTATGATGCGCGCGCTCGTGGAGATAACCCGCGGTCGTCTTCAACTGTTGTCTTCAATAGTCCATCTTTGCTCAACAACTCATCTGAAAAACAAAGCAAAACATTACAACATTCAGACAAAGAGCAGAGAGCATAGAATCACCAAGAGGCGATACTCTAGTGCAATTTGAGAAACAATAACGCGCTTTTTGAATACATTAAATAAAAACAAAGCCGCTGTTTGCCATTGCGACAGCAATGATATCCAATGCACGAGCGATCGCTTTCACTTCAAAATGGCGGAATCTGTTGCTCTTGGTCATCCTAGGCTCTTTGCATAGTTAAATCATAACAGTTATCATGGTTTCTATTTCAAACTATAGTAAACTAAAGTTTGAAACTATAGTTTAAAATAGAAGATGAGTGGGCCTCGCTACTCCCACCCACCATAACCCTCGCAGCGAGGTCCCACTACCGGCCCCCCGTGTTTCCCTGAGGGTCCTCGGGGGTTGTTTGTTCCCTGCCTAGGGCTCAAAGGCCGCCTCGCCCCAGGGAGTGCACGGAAAGACCGGGCGCCAGGCCGTGCCAGTATTCACTGGATGTTGCTCGGCGGCACATTTCGAGCAACAAACACGTAATATTCTTCGCGATATTGCGTTTATGTACGCAAACCGCAAGGAACTACAGCACAGACGGGCCCGGGTGAAGCATCACGAAGCGGACTTCGTGAGTTTGGCGTAGCTCCACTCGTACCGTCGGTATTGAACTCACCTTGGTCAAGTACAAACAGCTACACCGGGCGAACTGACAACGCTGATTGAGAGCACACGAGCTTTATAGGAATGCATATGCAAATTTTTACAAGGCACGTCACTGTTGTCTCGTTGTCATGGCGAGCGCTGAGGAGGGCTCATCTGATTGGAGCACAGAGACGCGGAATTTGCGTCACGGCTAGTTGCCGTCTGCTGTTGACAAAAATATCTTAAATATAATAAATATATATTTTTACATTTTTGGTGCTCTGTAATATTCTGGGATGCAGTAGAATATGGAGACAGATTAATATAATTGGATATATGCCGAGCTAGTGTTGTTCCCATACTTATTAACTTCCGGTGACCGGTTATTATGAGTTTTTTTTTTTTTCATTTTATACGGTTCCTTTTACAGCATTGATGTTGTGATGCAATTAAAATACATTCAGTTAAATAAATTTTGGCATTCATTTAGTTCTTCAAGCGTAAAACGAGACAAAAGACCCTTTACTCGCACTCGCCCGTCAGATCCGGCAGACTAGCGCAGACGCTCCATTGAATACAATGAGGTAAAATAACTTAAATGCTCATATTATAAAGACATGGCGGGCGAAATATAATTTAATGCAGTTTTTCTTGTACAATCTGAGACCCACTTTATATCGGATATCACTCAGCCAGTGGAGATCGCTGATTTTTAAAGAAAACAGACCTTAAAAACGTGCAGATATTTCCTTTGGCATACAGTTCGCCGGAAGCGCTTAACCCAGGTTACTGGTAAATTAAAAGTCCTATTAACATGCTTCATTATATACCCTTAAATCCCAGATTGTCTTTCGAAAAAGAGTACGGGTTTTACCCCGCCATCCTGGCCAAATTTACCCACTGGCCTCTGTCCATCATGGCTTCATTTCTCTGTCTCCTCTCTCTGTGGTGTGCGGTCTGGTGGAAAACGGCTGCTGTCGCTGCATCCAGGTGGATGCTACACTGGTGGTAGATGAGGAGACTGCTTCCCAATAAATACCAAACTAGCTAAATTTAATAACAATATTTCCCCTAAATGCTAATTTTGTACTCAATATGATGAAACACTAAAGCATTTATTTTGGGAGTGTACTTACTGTAAAGTGTTTTGGGTTGACTTTTCCAATTTCATTAAAAAATTCTTATTTCCAAACTTCTGTATTTCCCCAAAAATTGTATTCTTTGGTTACTCTCTGAGTGTAGATCCTTCTCATTGAACATTTATTGTTGATTTATTGTTTTTTATAGCAACATTTTACTTCCATATATGTTAATTTTCAAAGAAACACCCTTACTTTTTTATTTTCAGAAAGGACTTTGAAATTTATGTCAACTCTTTAAAAGACTCTAACAATTACACTGCATGTAAAATACTTTCTTGGTGAAAATCATTTAAACTTGTTTAATTTGCTGGAATTCTATTTATGTAACCCTCTTTGTCTCTTTGTTCATATTATATCTTTGTAATGTTCTTTCTTGTATTAAAAAAAAAGTAGATGAGGAGATTCCCCCTATGTGTAAAGCGCTTTGAGTGCCAAGACAAGCGCTATATAAATGTAAGGAATTATTATTATTATTATAAAGCACTGTTCTACCATCATGATATAGCCAGACTAAAATGAAAATCACATTATTACGATTAGCTTAAACTACAGCGAACACTCCACTCACTGACAAACAGCCCCTTTCATAAAGATTTATTCCACAGGTCTGTCATAATCAGGCAAATATACATTAACATACAGAATATCGGCCTCTTCTGATGCGCCACACGTTAAATAACGCAATAGTTCAAGACACAGGTTTGCTTTTTTTCTCTACTTAAAAGAACGATAACAATACATCATAACAAGAGCAACAACAACAACAATAATTCATATCATAAAGATAAGCCAAGTTGTCTTTTCTAAAATTCAATATATAGCGACTCTTTTAAGGTGCACCACATGATCGGCAGGTGACTTGTTAAAGAAACTCAACAAATGTTGCACCATGACACACACAGTGAAATAGACAGAGACTTTTTGCAAACGTTGTATATGTATATAAGTGTCTCTTTAAGGTCGTCTTCTGGCACTTTCTCCAGAGTGCGTCCGGCTCGGCTGTGTTTCTAAAGTTAAAGCAGTCTGTTTTTGTTGGTTTGGCACACGTCAGGGTGGAAGCGGTGGTAGAGTAAGGCTTCTCTTCTTCTCTTTATATCCAGAAGACTCTGATATCTCATCTCTCACAGCACCTCTGCAGGAAAACAGCAGAAACACATGTGAGAAGATGATTTATTGAACTATTAAAAGCTTGCCAACAACATCTATGACTGGTATTATGAAACTGAAAATAGTGACGCTTTGCAGAATGCCAAGGCTGCTTTTTTCAGTCATTCACACTGTCCTAAAGTCAACAAACTGCAGAAATCATCAGTTTTATGCATGGAAAATATCAGCTTGGAGACTCTCTTAATCATCCTTTATACATTATTTTCAACATTTTATTTTAGGTTCAGTTTAGTTCAGTTCAGTATAATGTAAATGTCACTGCTGAAAGACAAAACACTGGAAAGCAACTCCACTGGTGACCAGATTTGATCCATATATGATCTAACATACAACTGAAACCAGTTACATACACTCTAAAAAAAGAAACACAATCATTTAAAAAATGTCTGATGGTAAATGATACTAAACGTTTACTATTTTAAGTCCGTTATGATTACCTAAATGATTTACATTTGCTAAATGCCAGAATAAAGAGAGATTTTTTTTGAGAATTTTTATTAATTTCTAGACAGTCAAAAGTTTACACACATTTCTTTGGTATTTGTTTAGCTTTTCTTTTAAACTGTTTAACTTTGGTGAAATGTTTTGGGTATCCTTCCACAAGCTTCTCACAATAGTTTGCTGGAATTTTGGCTCATTACTCCTGACAGAATTGGTGTAACTGAGTCAGATTTGTTGGATGTCTTGCTCGCACAAGCTTTTTCAACTCTGCCCACAAATTTTCTATAGGATTGACATCAGGGCTTTGTGATGGCCACTCCAAAACATTCACTCTGTTGTCCTTAAAGCACATTTGAACTAATTTGGCTGTATGCTTAGGGTCATGGTCTGTTTGGAAGAGCCATTTGTGGCCAAGTTTTCATTTCCTGGCTGATGTCTTGAGATGTTGCTTCAGTATTTCTCCATGATGTTCTTTCTTCATGATGCCATCTATGCTGTGAAGTGGACCAGTCCCTCCTGCAGCCAAACAGCCCCACAACATGATGCTGCCGCCCTCATACTTCACAGTTAGGATGGTGTTCATAAGCGTGTAAGCTTTCCCCTTCGTCCTCCAGATGTAACACTGCTCATTATAGCCAAACAGTTATAGTCTTAGTTCCATCAGAGCACAGGACATGTCTCCAATATTAGTCTTTTTCCCAGTGTAATTTAGCAAATTGTAATCTGGCTTTGTTGTTGATTCTGACTTGTTGATTTTCCCATGTTGTCACACAAGGAAGCAGTGTGTGTTTGAGGTTTTCCTTCAATACTATTCTACAGTTGTGCCTCCAATTAACTCAAATGTTGTCAATTAGCCAATCAGAAACTTCCAAAAGCTTGACATCATCATCTGAGCTTTTTCAGAGGCAGAATAATCTTACTGTATGTACACTTGACTTTCAAGAAAGGTTATAACTATTTCTCAAAAATATCTCTCATTATTCTGCTATTAAGCAGAACAGAAACAAATTTGATCATCCTAACTTACCTAAAAACAGTGGCGTAGCGGACGGGCCCGCAGGGCATGCACCGCGGGGGGGCCCCGCGTGATTAGGGGCCCCATTTCGTTGCGATTTTCAATAATTGAAAATTCAGGAACGGCAATAATCAAACTCTTGGGAAAAACTGTGGTCGGAACCAAAGTTCACAGGTCTGTGTTCTCTGAACACCTCTCAAGCGGTGGACTACTTCATTCTTATTGCTTGCCGCCGAACCGCGTCATGGCCAATGAAAACGCGCAGCTGTTTCTCGCCGCCGGTTCTCGTTAAAAAATGAATGACTTCTGGCTACTTTGACGCTCTCGCCGCTTTCGGTTTGTGATTGCTCCTCATTTTGTGAAGGATTCCCCGCATTGTCGATCCACCCCGGCTATTTTTTTCCGCTCCTCAATTTGTGATATAGATATATACAGTAGATATCGCATAGGGACCCTGAGCATGCGTCTAAAGCGCCGCCACATTGGTACAGTGCTCCCAGGACAAATGTCATTCAACCGCACTAGTCAGGACAGTGTTATTACGTGAAGATGCGGGACTTTAGTGCTGTCTACGGGTGTAGTAACGAGCAAACAAAGAAAACAAAGGTAGAACACTTCATAGGTAAGATTAAGTTTTTTTTTATGTTTTTGTATGTTCTGAAATCTGTGCTAGTCAGGTAACGTTATTGATGATAACAGTCACTTACTACATTCATTATAAGGCAAAGTAGCTCCAACTCGCACTAAACACTCGGCTTATGCTAGTTTTGTTGAATAAAATCAGCAAACAATGCAATAGAAATATGATAACGAGATGCTGCGCTGCCAGAAACTTGTATTATTGTCGGCTAATGTTAGTGAAAGAGTCGTTCGGGGGATTCATTCACAAACAAATCGCTCCCTCCGTCAGTAGGAGAAGTGAAAGCAGGAGAGGAGCTGTGTTTCAGGACATGATTAGATCAAATTTAACAGGGAGGGTGGATAGTGCATTTCTGTACACACAAACACAAGCTTTTTGTCAGGAATGCCCGTGCGGTCACTGATCCATCAATGTAGAAAAGTGATGTAAAATTATAATTTTCATTAAAAAAATTGCATACTAACATCCAGGAAAACTCCCGATCATAGATATATGTGTATATCTCTGTATAAGCTTAAGTGTGTTTAAGATGAATTTATGAAACACACACACATCTCACCTGTGCTCCTGCGTCACTCTTACGAGTCCTCTTCATGATTTCTTCCAGACGCTAAAAATGTAAACACAAACGTTAAACCAACAGAGCTGAACTAAAATCTCAAATACAATTGAAGACAAAATTTTGAGCCCTCCTGTGAAATTAAATCTTTTAGAAATATTTCCCAAGTGCTATATTTAACCATTTTTAAATATTCATTCATTTATTTTCCTTCAGTTTAGTCCCTTTATTTATCAGGGGTCACCACAACAGAATGAACCGCCAACTTATCCAGCATATGTTTTACACAGCGGATGCCCTTCCAGCTGCAAAGCAGTACTGGGAAACATCCATAGACACTCATTTACACACACTAAGAACATGCAAACTCCACACAGAAATGCCAAATGACCCAGCGGGGACTCGAACCAGCGACCTTCTTTCTTTGAGGTGACAGTGCTAACCACTGAGCCACCGTAATGCCAGATTAGAGGTCTGCGGGGCCCGACCAGATTTCTTGCAGCGTGGGATTAATTTCCGGATAAAGCATGGGAGCGGTCGGTAACTGGTGAAATTTGAACGGGAGCCGGCGGTCTAACAATATCACTCCTAAGCGAGCGAGCACGCCTATGTGTGTGTGTGAATGAGAGAGCGTGATGCTGTGTTTAGCTTGATTGGTGGACTTTTATTTTCCCTTCTTTCTTTCCAAGCGTTCCAGCTCCTCCTTCTGGAAGTGTTTCTCTCGTTCGATCCTCTGTTTCTCTGCTTCCTCTCGGGCTTTGGATTCAGCCTCTTCTCGCTGCCAAAGACACATAAAACCACATCATACATTCATTTATTACACATCTCTAAAATACATAAAAGTCCAGTGCCATGTCACATATGGGACCCCACGTTTGGCTGCTTAGTGTGGTCCAATAATGTTGTTTCACCATGTCCAGTCAGCTGCTTCAATCAGCTTTATCAGTGGTTATCAGCTAATAGAAATTGGCCAGTAGGGGCCTTCCGCTCAGTAAATGTCACTCAGAAGGCTGTTATCGCCCATTCACATTGTTAATCAGCTATAATAATAGAGAAGAGTCCAGATCTGTTTTACATCACTGTGACGGTTAAGGTAGGGGTAGGCATTAATGAGTTCTAATTAATGGGAAATTTAATAAATAATATTAATAATTCTAGTTAACTTCCGGCTGCAGCCGTATGTGATCTATAGCTGATTAACCATGTGGATGGATGATAACAGCCTTCAAATGATCTTCTTTTGCGTTCTAGCAGAAGAAAGCGAAGGCTGAGTAAAGGTTGACAGAACTTAGTTTTGGGTGGACTATCTCTTGACAATGGCTTCCAATATGATCATCATAGTAAAAGCTTAGAGATTATAGACACACATTCTTCTCCGGCTGTTATTAAGACTGCTGGCAGCTGCTAACACAAAAATAGTCATCTACTATAGGGCCCATGGAAAGTTTCTGGAGCAATGAGTGTCGCAGAGAAAACTAGTAAAGTCAATACACACACATACCCTCACTGGCCACTTTATTAGGTACACCTGTTCAACTGCTCGTTAACGAAGTAAACGTTATGAAGATTGGAAAAACGTTCCCTGGTCTAATAAGTCTTTATTTCTGCTGCAACATTCGGATGGCCGGGTCAGAATTTGGCGACAACAACACGAAGCAGGGATCCATCCTGCCTTGTATCAACGGTTCAGGCTGGTTGTGGTGGTCCATTCCTTTATAACAACAGTGTTAACAAGAGCGATAACACACCATGTCATAAAGCGTGAATCATCTCAGACTGGTTTCTTGAACACGACAATGAGTTCACTGTACTCAAAATGGCCTTCACAGTCACCAGATCTAAATCCAATAGAGCACCTTTGGGATGTGGTGAAACGGGAGATTCACATCATGGATGTGCAGCCGACAAATCTGCAGCAGCTGTGTGATGCTATCATGTCAATATGGCGCAAAATCTCTGAGGAATATTTCCAGTACCTTGTTGAATCTATGCCATGAAGGGTTAAGGCAGTTCTGAAGGCAATTAAATAAGGTGTACCTAATAAAGGGGCCGGTGAGTGTAAACACAGGTCGAAAAAATATTGTTTATTTTTTTCCGGCTGTAAAAAAAAACAAAAAAACAAAGTGACCCGAAAGCCAACATGGAAGAGTTAAATGACCGAGAAAATTTGGCCAATTGAAGCTCGATTCTGTCCTTCAATTGGCTTGAACTCTGGATCGCTGTAATGTAATCAGTGTGTCAATGAGACCGTCCGGAGTGAATGAAGGATCGCCACACAGCACGACTCTGCAATCCTGCCTGTCACACCAGCAAACTGTTTACATTCCCAAACTGATCTAGAGGGTAACTACATCAAGACATTCAATTCACATTCAGCAAATATTCGTTTTGATGTACAGTTGAAGTCTGAATTATTCAACCCTGACTTATTAGCCCCACTGTATGCTTTTCCCCAATTTCTGTTTAACGGAGAGCAGATTTATTCAACACATTTCTAAACATAATAGTTTTAATAACTCATCTCTAATAATGACACGCCATGAAGATAGTCCATAATATTTGACTAGACATTTCTCAATATTCAGCTTAAAGTGACATTTAAAGGGTTAACTAGGTTATTCAGGCAAGTTAGGGTAATTAGGCAAGTCATTGTATAACAGTGGTCTGTTCTGTAGACTATACAAAAAATATTGCTTAAGAGGGCTAATAACATTGACCTTAAAATGGTTTGAAAAAAATTTAACTGTTTTTCTTTTAGCCAAATATATATAAACCATTAAACAAAGCAACTCGTATTCAAGCGAAACGGCTGATGGAAACATGCTGCGAGAGAGAGCACATTTAAATACAGAGGTCCAAAATACAACACATACAGAGAGTTTAGATGCAAATGCACCACACACACACATTAGCTTATCAACAGCAACCCAAACAGCCCCACAACAAACACAGTCAATTCTCAGTTGTCTTTACACCTTGCACTGGCTTTTGGGAAATTGTTCAATGAGGCTTAATAATAGCCAGATTTATACTGACACAACATACTGTACTGCTGGATGGGAATTTAAAGGTCAAAGATTAAAGGCAAACATGAACTTTGCATCCAGAGCCTCATCAGCCAGTTCAGTTCAGACTTTGGGATCAAATAAAAATAAAAATCAGCATTATTTATGGGCTTTTAATATTCTTGTAATATTTATTAAATGCAACACAGCAATTTTTCTATGGCGATCTTTATCATTTTAAAACTGATTGCTTATTCAAGTTAAGCTTTTAATCTAATATTCGATGTTCACTTTTTATTTTAATTGTAGTTTACTGCAGGTATTAGTAATCTTGCTAGGTTTTCTTGCAATTTATGTTTAATATTGAATTATATTTATCATATATTTAAATAAGTCAATCAATAAGTCGATCATGATTTCTATAATATGGGTTTACGATCTACCTAAAATCTTTTACGAAGGTACTATTGGATATTTCAGTACTTATATATTAATTTAAGTATATGTCTTAAACTCAGACATTTCTCACCTTTCTAAGACAAATCTGACGAAAAACACTTGAGGGAAAAACCTGAGGCAAGACTTGAAGCTCTAAATGATAATATTCATCAAATGAAATGCAACCGGAGAGTTTTTGTGGACTCTCTCTGTCACTCATTAGTATCCTGTTCGCTCCTGTCATGCCAAAATTGATATAAGCCCATCTGACAGCGTCCACTCCAGCCATAACTCACCTTATATCTGTTATCAAGCATCTAAAAATACAGCTCCTGAGATGAAGAGCATCTGACAGTCAGGGCTAATGATGAAACTTCTGCTCAGACAATGATCTGAGGACAGCAGAGATGTTTACGAGCGAGCTAAATGCTGCATTGTGTAGCTATAGTACACAGATGGCACTGTTACTTCATTGTGCTTAAATATCTCTCTGAAATAACGCAAACACTCTCAAAATGCGTAAAAGAGTATTAAGAGTTGAGCATGATACGATGTGAATACTAGTTAGCGTCCATAGATATATACGTTAAATGTCGCCTACCCTAATGTTGTCTTTTGAACGGAATGCGTCAACAGATCCGCCATTTTAGTACAGGGTAACGCTCCTTTGAAATGAACGCTCCTTTTAAACGAGCGCCATCTAGCGGTCACATAATCTAATGACCAAATATTATGAACTTATTTTACAAATACATATAACTTGACATTAACTTTTTTTTCTTACCAACCCCACTGGTCTTTTTCACAAGACAAAATTTTATTGTTGGAAACTGTGTTTTATATATATATCTATATTTGACTTTTGCATGCTTGAGGAAGATACGTTTTACTTGATTTGGGTCTTTAAAAAACTCCGACTACCAATATTATGATATAGGTTGCCTATATCTGCTGTATTCACCCTAAAACCTACAGTAGGTTGACCTAAAACCAAAGACAACACCCATTCTTTTCTTAAGATATTTTAAGCAATTTTTTTAATAACAGTAAGTTCATGACATGGTACATATATAGTAAATCTGCTGGTTTTAAACATACAGCATAATAATAAATACAGGTATGTACCAACCATAACATTACTCTTATGTCTTAGGACAAATATGATTAACTTTTGATTACCTACACTAAATGTTGACTATTGAAGGTACATTTATAACAACTATTTATTTGTAGACTACTGTATTATCAAACCATGTTGCATACAAATGCATTCAACAGACTTAAATGACAGTGTATTGCTGTAGAGGACAAATAAAACACGAGACAGGTGTTTAGGAAGAGTATAGTTTATTTTGTTTGACCTGCAAACTTATCTAAAACAAGACAAACTCTCAGAAAACAGACCGGAAACATTATGATGCGCGCGCTCGTGGAGATAACCCGCGGTCGTCTTCAACTGTTGTCTTCAATAGTCCATCTTTGCTCAACAACTCATCTGAAAAACAAAGCAAAACATTACAACATTCAGACAAAGAGCAGAGAGCATAGAATCACCAAGAGGCGATACTCTAGTGCAATTTGGGAAACAATAACGCGCTTTTTGAATACATTAAATAAAAACAAAGCCGCTGTTTGCCATTGCGACAGCAATGATATCCAATGCACGAGCGATCGCTTTCACTTCAAAATGGCGGAATCAAGTGTGCCGCAAGCCTACGTTTGAGTGAAGGTTTCGGCCGTTAGATCGCCCCCTGGGGGCTGGCTGCAGTACAAGTCATAAAGCCCGCCTCCTCCGTGTTAATGAAGGAGACTTGAGCCCAAATAAAAAAAAATATTACACTTGCAATAAAATGTCCCGAAAGATAGTTCTGGTCGATTAAGGCACTGGTTATTGTGCTGAAATAGGTGCAGATCTTCATTTTTGTAAACAGTTTGTTATTAGCAGTAATTTAATGCTGGGCGTGTCATCGTGATTGACAGCTGTGATTTACAGTTTCTCAAAGCAGCGCGTCTGAGCTTCGGCAGGAGACTGAAGTAGACTGAAATGTTATTATTCGATTTCTGTGTTATTTTACCATGACAAAATGAGTTCAGCAGTAAACTATAGTTTCTGACATACATGATCCTGGTGGAACACTGTTTATTCGCTAAGTTCAGGGCTTTTTTCGGGCTTTATTAGTTTGCTGATACACGCCTAACCACCCAGATAGCAAAACACAGTTCCGGCTAGATTCTCGCCTGCCGGAGACTTCTCTCTTAGAGCTCAGACTGACTAATGTTACCTCTGCTGGACCTACTCCGGATGCCTGGATTCACTGCCCGATTCCAGTCCGAGTCAATCGAGCCAGATGCGGCGGCCGAGCGAGCAGGCGCTGCCGCATGCGAGCCGGAATCAGCCCGCGACGCCGCGAGTAAGTTGTGCGCTGCGGCCTGGAGCTGGCGCGATTGAATATATAAAACCCTCATATTTGTTAACGTTATTACATCCATTTGTGTTGATATGACAGCAAACGCATGCTGAGAAGTTCGGGGGGCGTAGTTGATTTTACATAAAGCGTTTGATTGGAAGCTCGACTCTGCTCATTTTCGCGGCTCCTCCTCTGGCTCCATCAGACAGTCCTTCTGCGCATGTCTGGCTCCAATTTCAGCAGTCTTTTGCGACAGTTTGTGCCCGTCAAGCAGGCGTTTTGCCCTCAAGGCGTTCAATGGGAAAAAGGGCTGTCGCGTCGTCCATATTTTTTTACAGTCATTGGGCGGAATCTGTTGCTCTTGGTCATCCTAGGCTCTTTGCATAGTTAAATCATAACAGTTATCACGGTTTCTATTTCAAACTATAGTAAACTAAAGTTTGAAACTATAGTTTAAAATAGAAGATGAGTGGGCCTCGCTACTCCCACCCACCATAACCCTCGCAGCGAGGTCCCACTACCGGCCCCCCGTGTTTCCCTGAGGGTCCTCGGGGGTTGTTTGTTCCCTGCCTAGGGCTCAAAGGCCGCCTCGCCCCAGGGAGTGCACGGAAAGACCGGGCGCCAGGCCGTGCCAGTATTCACTGGATGTTGCTCGGCGGCACATTTCGAGCAACAAACACGTAATATTCTTCGCGATATTGCGTTTATGTACGCAAACCGCAAGGAACTACAGCACAGACGGGCCCGGGTGAAGCATCACGAAGCGGACTTCGTGAGTTTGGCGTAGCTCCACTCGTACCGTCGGTATTGAACTCACCTTGGTCAAGTACAAACAGCTACACCGGGCGAACTGACAACGCTGATTGAGAGCACACGAGGTTTATAGGAATGCATATGCAAATTTTTACAAGGCACGTCACTGTTGTCTCGTTGTCATGGCGAGCGCTGAGGAGGGCTCATCTGATTGGAGCACAGAGACGCGGAATTTGCGTCACGGCTAGTTGCCGTCTGCTGTTGACAAAATATCTTAAATATAATAAATATATATTTTTACATTTTTGGTGCTCTGTAATATTCTGGGATGCAGTAGAATATGGAGACAGATTAATATAATTGGATATATGCCGAGCTAGTGTTGTTCCCATACTTATTAACTTCCGGTGACCGGTTATTATGAGTTTTTTTTTTTTTCATTTTATACGGTTCCTTTTACAGCATTGATGTTGTGATGCAATTAAAATACATTCAGTTAAATAAATTTTGGCATTCATTTAGTTCTTCAAGCGTAAAACGAGACAAAAGACCCTTTACTCGCACTCGCCCGTCAGATCCGGCAGACTAGCGCAGACGCTCCATTGAATACAATGAGGTAAAATAACTTAAATGCTCATATTATAAAGACATGGCGGGCGAAATATAATTTAATGCAGTTTTTCTTGTACAATCTGAGACCCACTTTATATCGGATATCACTCAGCCAGTGGAGATCGCTGATTTTTAAAGAAAACAGACCTTAAAAACGTGCAGATATTTCCTTTGGCATACAGTTCGCCGGAAGCGCTTAACCCAGGTTACTGGTAAATTAAAAGTCCTATTAACATGCTTCATTATATACCCTTAAATCCCAGATTGTCTTTCGAAAAAGAGTACGGGTTTTACCCCGCCATCCTGGCCAAATTTACCCACTGGCCTCTGTCCATCATGGCTTCATTTCTCTGTCTCCTCTCTCTGTGGTGTGCGGTCTGGTGGAAAACGGCTGCTGTCGCTGCATCCAGGTGGATGCTACACTGGTGGTAGATGAGGAGACTGCTTCCCAATAAATACCAAACTAGCTAAATTTAATAACAATATTTCCCCTAAATGCTAATTTTGTACTCAATATGATGAAACACTAAAGCATTTATTTTGGGAGTGTACTTACTGTAAAGTGTTTTGGGTTGACTTTTCCAATTTCATTAAAAAATTCTTATTTCCAAACTTCTGTATTTCCCCAAAAATTGTATTCTTTGGTTACTCTCTGAGTGTAGATCCTTCTCATTGAACATTTATTGTTGATTTATTGTTTTTTATAGCAACATTTTACTTCCATATATGTTAATTTTCAAAGAAACACCCTTACTTTTTTATTTTCAGAAAGGACTTTGAAATTTATGTCAACTCTTTAAAAGACTCTAACAATTACACTGCATGTAAAATACTTTCTTGGTGAAAATCATTTAAACTTGTTTAATTTGCTGGAATTCTATTTATGTAACCCTCTTTGTCTCTTTGTTCATATTATATCTTTGTAATGTTCTTTCTTGTATTAAAAAAAAAGTAGATGAGGAGATTCCCCCTATGTGTAAAGCGCTTTGAGTGCCAAGACAAGCGCTATATAAATGTAAGGAATTATTATTATTATTATAAAGCACTGTTCTACCATCATGATATAGCCAGACTAAAATGAAAATCACATTATTACGATTAGCTTAAACTACAGCGAACACTCCACTCACTGACAAACAGCCCCTTTCATAAAGATTTATTCCACAGGTCTGTCATAATCAGGCAAATATACATTAACATACAGAATATCGGCCTCTTCTGATGCGCCACACGTTAAATAACGCAATAGTTCAAGACACAGGTTTGCTTTTTTTCTCTACTTAAAAGAACGATAACAATACATCATAACAAGAGCAACAACAACAACAATAATTCATATCATAAAGATAAGCCAAGTTGTCTTTTCTAAAATTCAATATATAGCGACTCTTTTAAGGTGCACCACATGATCGGCAGGTGACTTGTTAAAGAAACTCAACAAATGTTGCACCATGACACACACAGTGAAATAGACAGAGACTTTTTGCAAACGTTGTATATGTATATAAGTGTCTCTTTAAGGTCGTCTTCTGGCACTTTCTCCAGAGTGCGTCCGGCTCGGCTGTGTTTCTAAAGTTGAAGCAGTCTGTTTTTGTTGGTTTGGCACACGTCAGGGTGGAAGCGGTGGTAGAGTAAGGCTTCTCTTCTTCTCTTTATATCCAGAAGACTCTGATATCTCATCTCTCACAGCACCTCTGCAGGAAAACAGCAGAAACACATGTGAGAAGATGATTTATTGAACTATTAAAAGCTTGCCAACAACATCTATGACTGGTATTATGAAACTGAAAATAGAGACGCTTTGCAGAATGCCAAGGCTGC